ATATCAAGCTTAAAATTATTATAACTTAATTCCCTCTAATCCTGTAGATATTTTTAAAAAGCAAGCAATAAAGATAGTAATGTAAAATTTAAAAAAACTAGTTTAAGTATTAGTCAAAAAATACATCTATAATAATTAATTAATATTTTTAGTACTGCAACTAGAATCACTGAATAATATTCATACTAAAAAAAACGCTAACTCCATCATTTATTGACCAAGAGTATTATGTACTCTTGTTAAACTGAGTTGTATCTATTCTGACAAAATTTTGGATTTACTACTGACATAGCTCAGTATGAAGCAATTAAGCAAGATACAGTACTCTTGATATGGAGCATGCAGCAATCCACAACTTGAAAGACCTCATTTTTAAAACTATATTTGTACATGCATCCCAATGCAAATGAAAATATCTTTGTGAGGAAAAATGATATAGCTAGGTGGTAGCAAGAATATTTTTGGTAATATCATAATAATCATTTTTACACAATGAAAATAATTGTTACATGTATTTGTGACGCGACTTTTATTGTTTAAATTTTACAACTATATGTTTGTTTTTGATGCAGATTGTAACTCATTTCATTGCAACTAGATCTAGATGCAGTATAATCTATTCTATGACCAATGACTGAAGGCTTTTGATATCATCACTGAAATCTCGTACATTATTACAGTTAAAAATAGTTGTTTTTACTTTATAAAGAGTTAAACATTGCAACAAATAAAGATTGAATGGAATAGAAGAACAAGAGGACTGATTTGCGGGAAGTTATGGTGCATATTCTGAATTCTTGGGAGTTAATCCGCATTCTAGGCACACGCCCGTGCACGTTCCGCGCGTTCACGTGCTTGGTTCAGCGTGCGGAACGATCCGCAGCAATCCGCACTGATCCGCATTCTAGTAACGCCCGTGTCAGTGCGTGTGTGTGTTCGCAAGATGGCGTCTTTTTCTCTGTTTTCAAATCCTTGCTGCTCTTTGCTCAGGTCCTGTGGAGTCCCACTGTCAGCTCAAATGATTCCCAAAAGTAGTTTTTCTTCAGTTTACTTCTTCATCCGTCTTCTCCTAGCCAGCATGAGCCAGTAATGTTATAGTCTCGCCACGCCCCTTTGCTACCTCCGTAGGTAGCGAAGGGGCGGGGCGAGACTAGTAATGTTACTAAACGTAGTCAGGATTCCGGGTAAGTTGGGTAACTCTCTCATGACGAAGGTAATAATGCAATAGAACACACCAAACGATAGATTTAAAGTTTTTATTCATTTAATATGTAGGAAATTTGTCTTAAATTCTTAATTTCTGAGATATGGTAGCTCAAATATCGCTTACCGCGACTGTTTACACGAGGTCCTGTTCTCCAGGAAGATCTGTCAGAGTCTTTTAAACTGTAGATTCTTACTATCAAGTTTGTATGCAACAAATAGAGCCAGATTATTGTGTCATAAACTGTGTATAAGTGTAGAAAACTGAAGCTTTTTTTACCAGTAACTGTCCATTGTGTGTAACTATGAAGTAGGCGGTGCTTAATTTGAGCCACACCTTCAATTGTTGCAGCAAAGCAATGCAAGGCTGAGCAAGCTAACATGTACAGTAACAGTAAGTCAGCAGCATTCTCTCTATAATTTTTGAAGAACAAATTAATGTTTCATTTGTGTTTTTGTAGTATCCCAGAAATCACGTGACTATAGAACCCTGAATTGTAATAAATGTAATGTGTGCCTAGACTTAATTATTGGTTGTATGTCTTGTCTGTAATAGATCCCTTCTTAATAATTTGTGTTAATGTGAAACTATTTCATAATTTGTGTCATAGTATATAAATGTTTGATTCTGTTGTTTTGGTTGATCTTTTGATTGTTAATAATCGTATCTATAAGAGTAATATACTGCAGTTATGTTACACTGCATGATTGTGGCGAGGGCATGTGCTATAGTGCACTCGTTACCCGAGCCCACGCGTAGGCGTGGAAGCAAGGGTAAAGCAGTCGTCCTGTCAGTGTGTGTGTCCAAGCCAAATCTGTTTTCAAGCCTTGGCTGCTTTCTATTTGAGTTCTTAAGAGTCTTATAATCAACACTAGAGCTAGGAAAAGTTTGTTCCTATCAGCCTACTGCTTCATTTATCTTTT